CGCGTGGTCGAAAGCCAAGGGGTGAGGGGCTGGGAAGGGGCAGCCCCCCGGGGTGCGATGCTTCCAGACCACTGGGCAGAGAGCAGCACCGTCAGGTACCAGGGCTGGACCTGCAGAGAGAAGGAAAAGCAGAAGGGTCAGGGCTGGTGCCAGCTTCCCAGAAGGTGACTCGGAGGAGCCCATTTGGCTGCCATCACCCTCATGAAGCTTCCAGGGAAGTTACTGACAGCGAGACCGAGCAAGAGGAGCCGGGCACAGCGGCTTACCGCGGGGGCTGCGCTGACACAGGGGGCTTTGGGGAGTCCTCCCTCGCTGGCAGGACATCCTCACTAAGCGACGCTCTCTGCAAAGCTCCTTACAGACATGAAGCACCAACGATTTAATTCCAGGGACAGAAATGCAGCCCTGGCTCCTGGGACTGGGCTGGGGAGGGGCTTGGTCCAGGCAGAGGCTCAAAGACACACACTTGTCCCCAGTATCCCACCTGAGCCACCAGCCCTCAGCCCCCTGGGACCCCTTACACCCAGCAGCGCTGGGAACGGGGCTCAGCGCAGCGTTAGCCCCCGTCCTTCCCCTCTTTTGCTCCGTACACAGCCCCGCTGCGCAGGGAGCAGGAGAAGAGGGACCTCTCCCCGCTACAGCCTGGGGACACAGCGGGTCTGGTCAGCGCAGCGGCACACGCACCGTCCCCAGAGCTGAGGCTGTCACACCACGCTGTCTGGGGGCAGAAAGGGAGATGCCCCCGTTCTCCCCGTGCCTTGGGCAGTGTTTACAAATGCCCGAGCAAGGGGTAAAGGCAGCCAGAGGATCCCGCCGTCCATCTCCGGAAAGGATGAGCTGGATGCGAGTCGAATGACAACCAGAGTCTTTATTCAAATAGTCCCTTAGGATGTTTGCAGACATACAGACACACGTACATATTTACACTCTTACACACCTCACAGAGCTTGAACCAATAAATTAAAACAAAAAGAGGGCGGGGGATTTTTTTTTTTTTTTCTCCTTTTTCTTGTTTCTCACGTAAGAAACAGCAGCTCCCCGAGGCGAGGCTGGGGGGACCGGCTGGAGAATGGCAAACAGAAGCCAACACGGACACAACCCTGCCCCAAAAGATGCGATGACAGCGAGTGT